TTTTGGATTCATCCAAGGAAATTTGGTTACTATGAGACATCATTATCATAGTAATAGGATAAAAGTTCTCCTCTACTTACTCAGTAACCTTATCCAAGCTACTCTTTGTATCAGTTTCCTCATTTGTAAATAAAAAGGGGATAATATGAGTATCTACCTCAGGGTAGTTGTGAGGACAAAATGAACCAAGACTTGTGAAAATATTTGAAACAGTACTTAGCACCCGTTACTGCTCAACAAACGTTAGCTACCACAAGCATCATCATTATAATATCTCTTTATAATATCTCTTCTTAATATCCTATAAGCTGAGTCCTGTTTACTTTTACAGGAAAATAAAAGGATGTCCTGGAGGAGGCCCCTTCAAAACCTTACTCCAAGCCCTCCAGACCAGGTTTCTATAATCCTTTTTCTTCCATGACATCCTCTGGCCAATATCTTGCAGAGCCCAACATGCAAGACCTTCAGAGCGTGGGTGTCTGTGTGGGGAGCTGGGAGTGAGGAAGGGTAGAGGGGAGAATACAAAAAGCTTTCAGAGCACACAGTTGCAATTCTAGTGCGGAGCCCCAACAGACACTCTGAGATCCCCCGGATTCTAGGAATACAGGGGCAACCTAAGCAGATCACCAGCTCGTTCTGAAGCTTCCCCTGGGCTACAGTACCATTTCAATTGCTTCCTAAGTGAATACAGAATCAGAGAGCAGGCAGTTTTCGAGTTCAGTTAGGCATACCTTTATGCTGAAAGCAACTAATATTTACTGAGGTCCAACTTTATAAAGGGGAATACACTGGACTTTCATAAATATATAATTCCATGAAATAATCACAACTCTGCAAAGTAGGTATTATATCTGTACTTTCATAAATGTAGCAGCATGTGCAATTAACCTGTTACACAGCTACTAAATGTCAGAGTTGAAATGCAAATACAGTTTTTCCAGGATAGGGTCTAGTCCTCTTTCCACTGTCCTGTCAAATACATGAGACTTGACTTAAGCATTCATGCTGGAAATAGGATGCTGTGGAAAACCAGATAACAGCCATACAGATGATAGGAGACAGATTTTAAGGCCTATGTAACAGTTCACTCAGTTATGGGTTCAAGGTTATAAAGGACAGATTTGAAGTATTCTTTTAATCATTATCTTAGAAAAAGACTGAAAATTATGCTAGAACGCTAACTATAATTACCTCTGACAAAATACCATCTTCATGAGGATATTCTGTATCAGTTGGCACCCATAACTTTCACAAGAATAAATACCTACTCAGGTTTTAATTCTATTTCAATGTCTCTGCTTAAAATAGCGGCCATTCTAAGTACTTTGAATAGGTTTCAAGCAGATTCTAACCACTGAACTAGTACAGTATTCCCGACAGGTAGCTGTGAGAAACACTGGGCGCATAGAAGTAAAATAAGCCAACTCTTACCCTCAAGAAGCTCACAGTCTACTAGGGTAGACAGATCTGCCACCAAATAGCTACAGTCTGACAATAGAGACCTGGGAAGGGAAGCAGGGTGACTGAAGATGAGGCGGGAAAAGAAAGTGAGGCTCTGAAACGCCGCACCAAGAACCTGGACCTAATAATACCCGCATTAGAGCCACATGGAAGATCTGGAGTGGAGAGCCACGCATACGTTTGTGCTTTAGACTGCTGACCAAAGGAGGGGACAGCAAGTCCGTGACATCCATAGGAAGCTTCTGCACTTGTCCAGGCTAGAATTCAGCTCTGGTCAAACGTTTAGTAAACACTGACAGTTACGACACAGTTTTGGTCCCTACGAGCACAGTTTGGAGGCTGGGGGGACACAGGCAATTCAGCAGTGACGGTGACGGTCAGACATGGAGAAGTGGCTAAAGAGACGGACAGAAAGAGCAGATTCAAAAGATTATTTCAGGCACAGAAAAATAAGACGTGGTAACTGATCGGAGTCAGGACCTGAGGACAAGATAGGAATCAAGGATGCTTCCCAGGTTTCTTGCGAAGGCTTGATGCCATTTATCGAAATAGGAAATACAAGAATGAGGAACTGACACCACTCGCTGCCCCCATTTCTTCTAGAGAGACACATCACAAATGAGTGAATCAGGTGCCAAGAGGAAAAGCCCTACAAATCCAAAGTAGCATTACTGTGATCATCACTTACTGGGCGTGCATCTGCAGGGGAAAAATGACTGTCCACAAGTTACCAATGGAGGCACAGGTTAATGCTGTCAGGAGAAATCATTTCAAGTCACAGAAATGTCCTAAACGTATGGTCAATTAATAAACAATAGATGTGTTTATTTACTGCCTTCTAATTAAAAATAGCAAAAGAAAAAAATACCCATGACATGCCCCAAGTACGAGAAATGATGAGTCCATTTAGTATATCTGTCCTTTGTTTTCGGGGACAATGAGAAACCCTACTTACTGTTCAGGTGTATGGAAAGCAGTGTCCTGCAAGATGTGGGGGGTCAGGGAGCTTTCCTGGAGGGGGCGGAGCTTCTGAGAAGTCCGGTAACCCAGGGAAGGTGCATACCTGCCTGCACACCACCCAGTGACGAGCTCTAGTGATATCTTGTAGAACTACAAGGTTTCTATAAAAAGACTCCCCAGTTCCTCCTGTCCCAGGATGTTAAACATACAGATTGACATTGTAATTAAAGCTAGAGGAAAACCTCTCAAAGGAGGCAGTTTTCAAAAAATTAATGATCATACGGGGAAAGACATGCTTGATAACCTAAATGGCTGCTTCAAAAAATATGAATATGCTTTTGAAATCATTATTTCCACTCAAAATTTGTATCACTTTGCAGGAAGGCTTTGAAAAGAACTGGGTAAAATCTCAGAATGATAAATTGATTATTAAGGGGACTTTTAATAAGTTTACCTTATGAGAATGACATAAACATCAACCATCAAGCTCTCACGTCAACGGCTACAAATCGGTGAGAACCCGGCGGTTCTGAGCTAGGGTGAGGAATTCCTTTATGTTACAGACACTGCAAATTCAACACTGTTGAAAACAAACTGGAACCTAAAATTCAGATTTCTATCAGTAATCAATTCTATCCACTTCATTTAAACACTGGTCCTCGATTAGTGATTCCCTCACCGTCGGTGAGGATATGGGGAAAAGGACACTCACATATTACCGGTGGGAAGACACACTGAAACCTTTCAAGGTTGAAGATCTGAGGACATCAACCAAAAATTTTAACATGTGTAACCTCTGACCCAGCAATTTCTCAGGAAATAAACGCCCAATGGCCAAGGATATGTACATAAAGTTACTGCTCATTGCTGAAAAACCAACGCCACACTGTATGGTCACGAACAGGGGAATAAAGTATGGCACATCCATATTATGGAGTACAAATGGGTGCAGTCCTTAAAAAGAAGGGAGCAACACAGGTACTGGTATGGAGGAGTGTCTACAGTTAGGTCACTGGGGAAGAAGAGTATAGATCTTTGATCTTACCTGGAACGATCCCTTTTTATTTTTAAAAACTCAAAAGCGTACAGATGTGTGTCACAGGACTGTCACGAAGAACACACACCAAACCCTTAACGCTTGTTACTGTGGGAGTGCGACATGCGCTGGACGAACTTTCATTTTTTACCTTACAAACTTCTGAACGGTCTGAGAGGTTGATAATGAAAATTTTTATAATTTTAAAATAACTAATGATTTTTAAATTGTTCTTCAATGGTTTTGAAAGGCAGGTCCCATTTTCTTTTTTATGAGTTAATCTGTAAGATAAACTCATCGCAATTCCATCTTCAGATTTTAAACTGGGAGCCCTCTGGAACCTGTGGGAAGCTGGAAAACTTTAATAAATAGTCTGTTATTATCAGATTAATAGCCAACCGTATGGCCAACCCAGTACTGAACTGTGTAGGGTGTGGGTTTAACAATATTTAACTCAGGAGCCTACCAAAGGTTTCTTTGGAAGCGGTACTGAAATAATTTCAGGGTTAGGTAGTTCCATTGATGTGAAGTCGGAAGAAATTACGCTTTATCTCTGTGCTGCTCAGATAAAAACTTAAGACTAAATGTCAATTTAACCCTGAAAGCAGTAAGAAGGAAAGAAACGCACCCCCCACCACAAAAACAAAACCAAAAAACCAAAAAAAAAACAACCAAAAAAAACCCTCAGCAAGGACAGAGAACCAAATTTAAGCTCCAAACCATGTCCATCAGGAAAAAGACAACTTGCTCTGCTAAATTACTTATCAGGTTTCCTCTCTCCGCAAAAAAGGGGGCGGGTGGGGCGGGATAGACTAAAGATAAATGAATGGAACGAGGAATCCTAGACTATCCCCCTGCAGCTTTCAAAGTTTGGGTTTTGATCTTTGCAGTGGATCAGAGGGCATCTCGAAAGTCAAGTAGAGCCAAAGTGGCTGCGATTTTCATAACCACCTTCAAATTGTATGTGCAGTCACGAGTGCGGTTACCACTTTCTTTCCTCTCTCCCTGAAAACCTAGCCGGGAAGATGTCCCAGGCTCCACATGCAAGCCTAGCGCGGGGAGGGGGGCCGCTCTAGCCAGCAGCCGGGCGTAGCGGCCGTGGACAGCCGTGGCCAGTCTGCAAGTGGAGATCCGCCCGAACCCAAATAAAACACCCTCCCCCTCCACCCGCAGGCCGAACCAAGCAAACCGAGGCGGGACAGGGTGCCAGCGGGGAAAAAGGGCTGCTAAACCCAGAGTCATGATCACACACGCGCCAACCTGGCGGGACCCACACCCAACTCTGCAGCGAAAGCTACACTGGGGGCTCCAAGCGGAAGACAAACGCCCAGGAGCTTTCCTGGCTGCCGAGAAGGCCATCCACCCCGTTTTCTCTTCCCTCCTCACACCGTCCCCACCGAGCGGCTTCCGACCCGCCCGTGGCGCCCTCACGCCCAGGTGGCCTTAGAGCTCGTAGGCTTCTGCGGTCCGCCCGGCGGCCGGCTGCACTCCGGGGCGAGAGAAAGGCAACAAATCACCCGCATCTCGGGGGCACCGTACTCACCCTCAGTACCGACAACCCTGGCTCCGCCGCGATTGCCATCACTGTACTCCTCCCCTCCAGCAGCAACCCCCTGGGTCAAGGGGGCCGCCATGACGCCGCTGAGTAGAAAACGCGGGGCGGGGCGGACAGGAACCAATGTAAACGCGACTGGAGGCGAACTCCCCATCAACGCGACGTTTTTTTCACGCCCACGTCGTGCTGTCACGCCCAGCACCAATAGGACGTGGCGAGCAGACTCTAATCCCCGCCCCTAACAGCTACTGCCACGCCCCCTCAGGGACGGCGTGGCCTGGAACTACAAATCCCAGCGTGCTCCGGGGGGCTCTGGGCAGGGAGGGCTGCAAGAGGCGCCGGCTGGCGGGGGTGCGCCCGAGAGTGCCCCGGCGTGTTCGCTTAGTTCAGTGAATCAGAACAATGACTGCGCCGCCGGGTCCCTGGGAGCGCCTCGGAGGACTGTGAGCAGCCGCCGCCGGGAGAGCGGCGGGCGGCGCAGCCTGGGCCGCGAGGTGTCAACGCCGGGCTCCGGAGCCTGCAACGCAGACCCTGCCCAGCGCCCGCAGCCCGCGCGGAGCCGCGGGGCTCCAGCGCTGCAGCCGCTCCTCGGCAGCTGTGCATTGTTGTGATCCGGAGCCGGGGCGCGGGGATTACAAAGCCGGAGCACCCGGGAGCCCTCTTTCGCCATGTGGATACCTACGGAGCACGAGAAATACGGCGTGGGTGAGTCTCCGCGGGGCCAACTTTTATTCCGCTCCGGCCGGAGCGGGTGCGCAGTTCGCGTCCTTGCGCCCGCTCCCGTCTCGCTGTTCCCGGCTGGAGATGCCTCATCGTTGCAGCGCGCTGCGGGGTCGGGCTTTGGAGAGCCCGCGCCGGGCAGAGGGGTGCGCGCCGGGGGTCGGCACTCGGGGTTCGGGCTCCCGGAGCGCCGCGGCGGCGGGGGGAGCGCGCGGCCAGCCGCCGGCTGCGGGCTCTGCCCGCGGAGTTTGGAGTGGCGACGGGGCGTGTGTGTGTGTGTGTGTCAAGTTGGAAGCGGAGGGTGAACGGCGTCCCTCTCCTTCCTTCCCCTTCTTCCCCGGCAACGGCAGTGGGGCTGCAGCGATTTCCCCGGGCGGAGAGGGAGAACACCCCCAAAACGGGAGGGAGGCGCAGAGCTTCCCCGCGGCTCCCGTCCACATTCCCGGAGTGCGGAATGTGGCCGGGGCCCCACCGAGCCGCGCAGACGGCCGGAGCCGCCGCCTCCCTCCAGTCCCGGGGCTCAGGGGCGTGTGCAGGGGCGGGGGCGTCGGTAAATTGCTACATCTGCGTAGTCTGCTCTTTGCTCTTTGGAGGGGAACGGGTATTTCAGCACTGTTGTTTTTTTTTGTTGTTTTTACTTCGGGCCACCCTCTGGCCGGGGCGAGCGCGGTGGGGGTGGCGATGGACGACAGCTGTGGAGCGATAATGGGGTGAGGGACTCGGGAGCCTGAGGCTTGCAGGCGAGGACGCCGCTTTTAGGAACGGACCTCCCTGGCACTGGCGTTGCGGGGAGAAGGAGCCGGGCAGCGCTCGCCGTTCTGTGGAAAGGTGAACAACAAAGGACGTTAATGCTGACTGATGAACGCAGGAGCCTTCCCTCCAGGCTCCCTCCTCCCGTCTCGGGCCGATTACAGTTCCCGTTTTTGTTGTTTGATTTCAGCTGGGTCGCCCCTTGACCGTTAACTCCTTTTAGGGTTGTGACTATGAAGAAGCTGGGCTCTCTGGCACGCCTGCAGCCGCCAAATGCAATGATAACCTCTCAGAAAGCATTATGGATTTTACTAACACTCGTTATTTGTTACAATGCCCCGTCCTGCCGACTGGGGCACTTTAAAAAAAAAGAAATTGGGTACAGATCTAGTGATTTAGACGATATGGAGGTATTTGCTTATGTTCTAAATTCATTTACCTGTAATTAAAAAAAACCTGGGAAGCCTTTCTCAGGACTCATAGTCGTGGGATTTTTTTTTCCAACTTCCCCTGGGTATAGGATTTAGAGCCCACCGAGAACTGTATGATTAAACTCATCCCCATGTTGTACATTAGCTTCCATTCTGGATTGTGACTGGTTAGCATGCAATAGTTTGTCCTGGACCCACCTTTGGGAAGGGGTTCCAGCTTTTCTCTATTCAAAGTGTAAGGGGAGCCTTTGCCAGGCTCTCTACTGGCAGGGAGTACGTGTTCGTTGTTATTGTCCCTCTCCTCACTGGCACAATTTTGGGGGTAGATTAACCTTTGCTAGGAGAACACACTGCCTTTGCTGAGCTGGTCCCCTGGAGGGTCCCCTTGTCACCCGGCTCAAAGGCTCAGTGTAGGAAGCACCCACCCATCCAGGGACACCGTCCTGTTTGGAGCAGATCCCAGGGGTTGCTTTCTTCCGAGTGTTAAATTATACAGATTATGGATGGGACTTCTTTTCTTGATCTTGTTATGTGCCAGGTCACAGCTGGGGAACTGGTATTGATTAGCTTTTCTCTGGCCTGTCTTTACAAGCTGTGGGCAGAGGCTTAGAACTCACTCGGGGATTTCCTGGAATGGCAAACCGGATATTATCAGTTAAGTGTTTTAGGATGCAGCAGACACCTCGGTTTTTTTGGGTGGTTGTGAACTGGTTGCAGAGTAGGAGGAGAGGTGGAAGGGTGAGCACATGTTTGGAGATTGTTTGAGATGCGGATGAGTGCAGAGAGTGGTCTGCTCTGCTCATTTATACAATATCATACGTACAGAAATTTAATTTTTGAGCATTGGAATGTTTAGCTGTTTTTTAGAATCCATCTGTTCGGTGTGTGTGTGTGTGTGTGGTGAAAATTTTGCTAGGATACTTATGCGTGGACTTTACTTCTCACCATGGAGAGAACTATTTGTAGCTACCTATGCTGCGACTTATGGTTTTTTTAACCTTGGTTAGTGTATGTGCTTTTCTCATCTAGTTTTTATACATACTAAAGAAAAGGTATTTTATGGGCACACGTGTGGCTGCTATCAGGTGTAGTAGTAATTCAGTTTCCTCATTCTTTGAAATAAATCAGCCTGTGTAACTTGGAATACCTGAAGTTTCAGTGCAGATTGTATATTTCTACAATACTTTTTATCTGCCACCAATTACGTCTGAGATAATTATGTATCTTTACATATTTATGTTTCAATTTCAAGCAACATACTACAAACATGGATAAAATGACATATTCTATCAGAGATGGACATTGCGTTTCAAACCTGATGTGTATGTGGGCACTGTCTCCTCCATTTAATTGCCGGATGGTCTTAAAACAATGTAAACTTAGTCATATGCCTAAATTCCGATTCTCGGGAATTAGAAAGGTACAGTGATAAACCTATAGTCCTGAGAGACAGGGAACCTTATCTCTGTAAAGACCTGTTAGTAGGCACAACAATATGCATATTTTATCTTTGAAGATTCTGATTAGCTCTTGGTCCCAGTCTAGACACTACTGCCACCTGTGTGACCTTAGGTAAATCACTTAACCCTTCTGGGTCCTGGCCCCTGGATCAGATGATATCCAAGGTCCTTCCCGGTCCTAATTCCATGAGCTCTTCCAAACAAATGCACCTTCTGGGTAGAAGAACACCCCCATTGTGTAGAGATTGTGATGAGAAAGACACTTTTGCTCCTACATGTCGCATCTAGTTTTTAAGATCCAAGGTAAACAAAAGCTGCCTGGCCAAATGCCAAAACCGAGGTGCCGGTTGCTCACTTTTTCAATCTGTTTCTCTCCAGCTGGAACTCGATGGGCAGTGACTAAAGCGTTCTCGATCGCCTCCTCACTAATTTCCGCACGATCACTATGTGCCTCCTGCACGCCCGCATCTGTCGTACCCCTTCCCTCCTCCCCCCTCCCTTAAAGTGGTGGAAATTAGTCACCGAGAAAGTTAGGACCATGGCAGATACAGTTATGCATTTGTTTGTTCAGCAAGCGTTTATGCTCAGCGTTCCCAGGTGAGTCTTACCTGAGCTGCAAACTGCACCTGTCAACCCCGGCCAGGTGTTTGTCGTGTGTGAACCTGGTTAAGCTTAGAGGGAGAGTATGGGCCAGATTGATCCATGCAGAAAAGCCCCGTGAGCCTTTCAAGAAACAAAACTCACAGCAGGCTGAGCTGAAGGGTCACCCTGTCATTTTTAAAATGAAGTACTAGAGTCCTAGTATCACAGAGGCCTCGGAAATATTCCTGTCCACCCAGTAGGAATCTCATTTTTTTTTTTAAGCCCCATCTGTTTGAAGGGAAGAGGTATTTATACAGGATCTTTAGATGCCTTTTCCTTCAGAAGAGTGCTTTGGTGGCAGCCCGCTTGGGAGACTTAGGAGAAAGCGAATCTTTCGTCTTAGCTGCATTCTTTTTCTTAGCTAGCAGTGACTTCCAATGGTTCCTATTTGTGGTCCCATGATTGCCCAGATAACATGTGTAGCTAAATCATGATGTGCTGCCTGGAACTGTTTGTGGCATTCAGAGCCCGACATAGCATTCTAAACTTGAAGTGGGAAGGAAAGGAGTGATTTCTATCTCCAAGGAAAGCGCCATTGAAGGGCTGTGCAGACGGCCTGATGGCAGCTGACGGTTGGGCCTGGCCTCCGGTGGACTTCCCTCTTTTGGTCACTCTTCTAAGGGCTGATTCTCGCACCAGGTCCCCACAGCAACCCAGCCTTGGTTTCCCCCCAGAGGCTGGAGGGTAGGTCCCACAAAGGAGATTGTAAAACTGTCAAGGAACTTGAGCTCTTCCTATATCTAGCGCTCTTTGAGAAACTCGTTTCAGACTGGCCTTTGATACAGTATGTCCAAGTTGCTAGCAGAGTGACTTCATGCTGTGAGCATATGTGGCAGAAAAACATTAAACTTGAAGGAAACCCAACCAAAATGCTGTCATTGTCACAGGGCTTGGTAATTGGCTGTGAGGAAATCCATAGGCGAAAGAAGGAGTTCATGACGGCTCCCTGGTTTCCAGCTTGAACAACTGGGTGAATGCAGGCGCAGTTCAACAAAAGAGGCATTTTTGTAGGCAAGGCGGGCTTATGGTGTAAGATGAAGAGTTTATCACCCAGAGTTTGCCATACCTGTCAAACATTCAGGTGGTGATATCTAATAGGAAGTCAGTCTGGAGCTAAGAAGAGAGGTTCTGGGTTAATGAGTATGACTAGCGAGTCACTCGGTTTATGTGTGATGACTAAAGTGATCAACCTAGGTAAGGCTTTATTCATTGTATTGACTTTGATTATGTAGGCTGCTTGTCCATTCTAAGCTTTAACGTGACAGGCCCTAAATTCCCAAAGAGCAGTCATCTTGGAGCACATTATTAATACGGGCACAGGGGACTTGAAGTCAGAAATACGAGCTGTCGGTGTGGAGTGGGTAGTAAACTAAATTTTATGATCTGTCCTGGCTTCGCATTAGTGCATTGCCTGGCTCAGGCATTAGTTATTTCTGTTTCTGTGACAGTTCTCTCCCAGGCAAATATCTCATGCCAGATTGTACATGTTTGCGAGATTTCCCCAACCGGATGTTGAAAAACACAACGCACGAGTAACATTTCAATAAACAAGATTTATACGTCCCTCAAACAGCATATAAATATATACACACATCCACAAATGGGAAAATTCTCAGATATCCAAAGCAGTATGTTTGTACGTACAGACATTGTGTGTGTGTATGTGTGCGGTAAATATGTAATATCTCTTAGGACCCACAGA